CACTGGAAAAGACCCTGATGCTGGGAAAGGAAGAAAGCAAAAGGACAAGGGGGCAGTAGAGGTTAAGATGGTTGGATAGCATCACCCACTCAATGGACATGAATTTGAGTGAGCTTCAGGAGATGGTGAAGGACAGAGGAGGCTGGTGTGCTGTAGTCCACCAGGTCGCAAAGAGTTGGACATAACTTAGGAACGGAACAACAACAACAGTCACCTAGAAATTCTTAATGAGAAGCACAGGATCATTCACTAGTACCAAAGGTTCCACTAGAACGACTGCTGCATCACTGAAAATCAGTACTAAAGTTTTGGTTTTTTGACTTTTTGCATACCATGTGCACTCAGGGAGTTTTAGCTCTCTGACAAGGGTTCTCTAAACCTGCACCTCCTGCAGTGGAAGCATGGAGTCTAAACTACTGGACCACCAGGGAAGTCTCTGAATGTCAGTATTCTAATGACCTAACACTAAGGATACTCTTTTGAAAAATAATATTCCCTGTATTCCACTGATCATATATATTTCTCAGGTCTGGTCATTCTACCTTTGGGAAAGCCAGTGAAAATTCAAAGTTCTGACTTTCAGGAAAGAAAAAATCAGGGAAAAGATGTAGGAAAAAAGAAGGGAGTAGGGTTGGCCATACTTCAAACTTCATATAAATAAAGACTTCCCTTGTTTATAGTTTTATATGACTACTGCGCTTTGTGAGACTTAAATGGGGATATTTTTCCTACCAGTGAAAGCATTTTCCTTATTTTTTAAGACACAGAGCTAACCTGAACTTCCTGAAGTAGGACTAAAACTGCAGTAATGCTGAGACTCCATGTAAGATATTCTTGGTCAAATGAAATCATTAGTCAACTGAAAAAAAGCATAAAACATTACAAGGGAAAATACTAAAGAGGGTGTTATTGTGTTCTATGGGGTGTGGACTCAGCAGAAACTACATGGAACTGGAGAGATCTGGCAGGTTAGTTCTCTATGGAATAAAATAGTCCTTTTAATTGGAGTTTTCACAAAAAAGCAAAGAATTCTCTTTTGAATGTTAGCCAAAAAAAAAAAAATTCATGCTGCATTTTCATATGTAAAATGAGTCCCTTTTAAGTCTTAAACTTTTATTAGTCTGGTAGGTTTTAGAGCTTTTCGTGGGGAAGTAAAGCCCCATCGTGCCTGGAAACTGGACATCATAAATGGCAGTCATAAATTACTATCATAATATTCAGAAGCAGAGTCACATTGCAGGAAATAAAACCCACTGACAATCTTAATCGCTTCTGGAGACGCAACCATCTCCAAACTTCCCAACAGAAGTTAGGTGGAGCAGTAAGTTAAGAATCAAGGCTCTATTTCTCCATTCATTCTATAAACACACAATTTTCAACTGTGGGCTGTGTCCCAGGTAGTTGAAAACACTAGGAATATAGCGGTGACCAAAACAACCCCCAATTCCTGCCCTCATGGAGCTTTACTTTTATTGGGGAGAGACAATAACAAGATATGTTAACATGCCAAACATTGATAAGTACTAAAGACAAACAGAATAAAGGATGAGGGATAGGAAGGTTTGGGGAAAGCTGCTTGTTTCCACTGAGGAGGGCATGGTTGAATAGAGACCTGAAGGAGGTGAGGAAATGGGCCACAGAGATGACAGGGGGTAGACAGGAAGAACATTTCAGACAAAGGGAAGCGCAAGTGCAAAGGCCCTGATACGGGCGCCATGACCAAGCCAGCGAGGCCAGAGCAGAGCTAACCAGGAGGAGAGAAGTAGGAGATGAGGTCAAGATATCATAGCGTACAGTTCATGAGGGAAGTAAGGGCAGGTTCAGGGAGATGCACTAATTACGAAGCATTTGCAGTCATCTAGATGAAAAAGAATGGTGGATTGGACCAGGGTGGTGGTAGCACTCAATGCAATATAATGGTGAGATTCTGAATATCTGAATAACGTCGAGGGTAACTAGATAGGTTTTGCCAGTGAATCAAGTAAGGGATGCAGAGAAAGAGAGGTGTCCAAAAAGACTCTAATTGTTCTGGCTTGAGCAACTAGAAAAACTGAGTTGTTCATTGTGGTGAGGAACCTTGTAGGAAGAGCAGGTCTGAGGTGGGAAGATCAGAAGCTCAGTTTTGACATTTTACTTTGAGATGCCTGCATGCATGCTAAGTCACTTCAGTTGTGTCTGACTCTATGTGACCCTATGGACTGTAGCCCACCAGGCTCCTCTGTTCCTGGGGATTCTCCAGGCAAGAATATGGGAGTAGGTTGCCATACCCTCCTCCAGGGGATCTTCTCAATCCTGGGATCTATCCCAATCCTGGGATCGATACAAGAACGTGGTTCTTATATCTCCTGCATTGATAGGCAGGTTCTTTACCACGAGCGCCTCCTGGGAAGCCCTTTGAGATGCCAACTATCCATCCAAATATTTGTTTTCAATCGAACAAGGAAAGAAGTCTGGGCTAGAGAACTATACGCAGATGGCAACCGTGTATTGATGAATTAGTTTGAAACATCAAACAAAGGTCCTCTTTCAGGCTTTGTCAGTGGTGTGCTGGGTACCTTGGGCTGGGTACCTGTGTACACTGGGCTGTACATCAGTCAGAAAGAAATGGATTATCACAGACCTCCAACTTCAATCACATAATATTTCTAAGAAATTATTATATTTAGAACAGTAGATACTAAGGCAATCAGTTCTCAACTAATCATAATCATAATATCTCCCTTCAGGTGAATGAGTATAATGAGGTAGACAAAATGAGAAAAAGAATATCACATATATGATTAATTAATTAATAATAATTGTGGCAAGTCCTATACAGGAGAAGTTGTAGAAGGTAGACTATCTGTCAGTACATTTCTTTCTGGACAGTTTCCTCCATGACATGGTGTACACACACCACACTTTTTCTCCAGCAGTACAGTCTCTCAGGAACCCATGACATCACCAAAAGGACACATATGTTGTTCCCAAGGAAACAGCCAGCCTTTAAAGATGGTAAAGTATTCATGACCATCTTAACCTTTAAGAATCTTAAATGAAAATACTGTGTCCATCTCATCCAATTTTGAACTACTGATACAATGAGCTGTGATCCCTCCACATTTCTGGGACCAGGGGTCACATAAAATAACGTACAGTCTGCATTTGGCTGAAATTAAAACCAGAATGCTGTACCTGAATTCTACTCTATATAGGTACTTGCATAGAATTTTGAGATGAAAGTTAATAACCAGTGGAACTCTTCTAGTTGCAGCTGATGACACCAATATACACGGAGGGATAGAATTTTAGAGCTATAAAATACAATGATACTAGAAACAATGCAACCCAATATGACTCTCATTTGACAACATAGAAAACACAAGCTCAGGAAAATTGCATGACTATATGACCTGCTGGTGGTGGTGGTTTAGTCGCTAAGGCGTGTCCGACTCTTGCGACCCCTAGTTAGCAGCAAAGTCAAAACTAAACCAAAATCTTCTCAACACTTAATTAATGCTGCACCAGAATAATCCTCACTCTGATCTTTTCTGTTAGAAAGAAGAAAAAGAAAGAATGAAATAGAGATACTGGTACAAGTTTTCAGTTTAAGAGAATTCTTCGGGAGAATGATTTATGAACTAAAAGCACACTTTATTAAAGACTTTTAATATCCAGGTGACTGGTGCTAAGAGAGGGGAAAAAGAGATAATGACTGGAAAGAGGTCCCCAAGAGAGCAAAGAATGAAGAGCTTCAAGGGGGAGCATTTGAGATGGAGGAGCAGAAATGAGTCATTGCTCACTTCTGTATTCCCAGTACCTAAAACAGTGCCCAACATGTACTGTATATTCAAAACATACTGGCTGAATTTAATTGACTTGAAATAAATTACAGCCTATAAAAGACATATTGTTTGGGTTTCCCTGGTGGCTCAGATGGTAAAGAATCTGCCTCCAATGGAGGAGACCCAGGTTAGAGTCATTAAAAACATGCTGGCTGAATTTAATTGATGTGAATTAAATTACAGCCTATAAAAGGGATATGTCAATATTATTTTGTTGGTGAAAGTCAAATACATTGAACCTCCATATAGTGATGTCAACAGACCAATAACTGCCACTATATCAACATCTTTGTAGTAAATGATTTTTGTATGTCATAGATGATTTAATGTGGTGTATATAACTAAATCTACATGTAGAAAGAAAGAAAGAAAAGCTCTGTTGTGAGATTAATGACTTTAGATATTTGTGCAGTGCTTAACAATTTATAAAGCATTTCCACATATATACATATATGTAGGTAAATGTCCATGATATAATGATATATCTAATAAAACATTATACATACTTATAAATAAAATATATAATATAAATACTACATATTTTAACATATATATTATATTTATATATTGCATATCTTAAGTTGCATATATATATATTATATGTATATCTATATATGATGATGAACGTCATGAGCTGGCAGGTGACAAGGGTCTGAAATTAAACTCGGGTCCCTACCACTCCCAATTCAAGTGAACCTTCTACTTGTTTTCACTATATATTTAAAAGATGACAGGTTTTCACTTGGAATAATGGCAAGTTTGTGGGTAACGGTCATTGTCTTTGCCACCTCCCCCTAACAGGGAATGGGTAACAAGTAAGACATGGTACCACAAGATACCTTGGCATGTGGAGACCATGGGTATATATATCCAGGCCATCATTTTAGGTGCCTGACTTTCTCTTTTTAAAATATTTTATTGTTAAATACCTATAAATGGCAATTTACTTCTAATATCTTATAAAGGTTAAAATGCAGACCAATGACTCCAGCAGTGAAATAAAGGGTGTCCTGCATCCACATCAAAGAGAAGAAAAAGAATTCTTTGACTCTAACCAGCCAACCTCAGGCTCACTGGTCATTCAAAGTGCTCAGGTTAGAGAAAGGGGCTACAGTCAAGGATCTTGCCCCGTCCCTGTCTCCCTGGCTCAGTCCTGAACGCTCAGCCATGCCTCACCTCGCCGTCTCCTTCCACTCCATCTCTTGCCCATCCACGGCCAGCAGCTCATCCAGTTCCGTGAAGAGCTGAGGGGGTGCTGGGCTGTCATCCTCCTCGCCCAAGATGAATCGGATGCGTTCTGCGGCAGGAGAGACTGCAGAAGTGAAAATACTGCGGTTAAACATCGGCTGGACAACCCTGAGCAAAGTGTAGCTCCGAGGTCTTCCTCTGTCCCCAGAGCTGGGGGGCTTCCCTTCCACATTTTCAGTGGACATCTTCCTCGCCGAGCCTCCCTCGTCCCCAGCCTAAAGACAAAAGGGATCCAAGGCCTTCTCTACGCCTTTGGTTCTGAGCGGTGTCTCAGCTCTCCACCACGCTCCAGAAGGACAGAGCTCCGATCCCACCTCCCGACTGACGGAGAACCTTTAGCCCTCAGATGAGCCGAGGCCCAGCCACGTGAGCTCCCCTCCTTCTCCACTGATGACCCATCCAAAAGTCTGAGACAGAAACCAGCTGGGGCCAATCATTTTCTCTACAGAAGTGGGAGGGGACAAGAGAGCACCCCAATCCTAAGGTCCCCGCGGCCCCCCGCCTCCCAGCCACCCTCCCTATGCCCAATGCCCAAAGCCCATGCCCTTGCAGGCTCCTTACTGCCCGTAACTGCCTAGCTGCACAGTTGATGAAGGAATATTTAACAAGACGGAGCCTCTTCTTTACATAATGGCAGTACCCAAAAATGTTTAGTCACACTTCAGTGCACTTGGAAAACAAGCCCAAGTAAAATATTGTACACCAGAAGGGGAAAAAACCTTCCAACTTGCTTGAGCACATAATTGAATGCCTTACTAGCTCCTTCTGACCCCATCTCCTAAAAGTCATGTAATGAAAAATTAACTAGAATCTCCTCCTGGATGTGGGCTGTTTTCTCTTTCTTTAAAATTTAAAAAAAAAAAAAAAAAGGAAAGCTTTTGGAAACGGACGGTTATAAGATAAAGCCCATGGATACTTCTTATAATCCCCAAAGAATGGCATATACATGTGACTGTGGTCCAAGTCCAAAGAATGGTATATACATGTGACTGTGGTCCAAGTACACAGATTTATTCATCTGTAGAGCTATGTAGTAATATATGCTCTCAACCCAATAAAACAAAAAAATTCCTACCATCTGAAAACTGCTATAATACTAGGCAGAATAAAACTCCATAGGTCAAAATACATTTACTACAAACTCATGAAAAATATTCAACCTACCTAGTAATCAAAACTAATTATTAAAACAAAATACATGTTTTGCCTATAAAAATGGCAAAAACTTCAAAGAATGACATTCTCAATGTGGGCGAGGGTTTAGGACATATGCACCACCATTTTTCAATTTACATCACTGGTAGGAGTCCAAACAGAACCATCTTTCTGAAGGGAAATTTGAAAAAAATATGGAAATGTTTTCAAAGTATATCTTTCCTGTGAGCCAGCAATTCTACCCCTAGAAAGATGTTCATTTCAAATAAATAACAGTTGCTGTCGCAACATCTTATCTACAGAGGTGACCACTGTAGCATATTTTATAATTGAGAAAAATAGAAAAAGCCTAAATGTCCAAAAAGGAGGATTGGTTAAACAAACCATTGGTTAAGCCCATTCAATCAAATACGATGTCATCATAAAGCATGAAGATGCGATTGTTGTTTTTTGACATGCATATCATATAATATTAATTGAAAAAAATAAAACTACAAAATCACATGCATAAAGCAACCCCACTTTGCCAAAGAAAAAATACACATGTATCCATAAGAATAGTCTGGAAATGAGGGGTCCCTCAGTTTGCATGGTTCTAATGAGTGTGAATTTCAGCTACCACAGTTGAGTTAAATAACACCAGTAGCCCAGCACCACAGCTTACGTTTCAGTTGTGTGGTATATTAACTGTAATTGCATAAAATACAAAGCTCACTGCCAGCTCTTCAGTCCATCAGCTACCATGTAAATAACACACGTGCATCATGATCATGACCAATCATAGCTCCCCTTTCAAAGTCTGCCAGTGACTGGTCACCACACATTTGTTATCTAGTTCATGCACAGACAGCAAAGTGCATAGTGGTGCGGCCTCCTTTTCTTGCAATGATAAATGCATATGACATGAATAATCAAAAGAGGGAGTTGGCCAACAAAGATGGAAGTACAGTCCAGAAACAAAAAGTACTAATGCTGGAAGTGAAACCTACGTCAAATACAAACGGAGTTAAGACCTAGCTGATTATGGGAATGTGGATAATGCTGCCATTCCCCATTTGAGAGACTCCAGATGTACAGTCAGGGGAACTTAGTGAAAGCAAACTCATTAACATAAATAGTAAGGCAAGTGGTTGTAACAATAATGATGTCCCAGAGGAAGTGATATTGGCAAAAAAAAAAAAAAACCTCCACGTTAAAGGAACTCTCATACACATTTCCTGACATGGAAAGCACAAAGGATAAAATGTTGGAAGCTGATCCAGACTTAGGAATATGACAATTCCTCTCGGCATAGAAAAGATGCTCACTCCATTTCATAAATTGTACTACAGGAAACGAGCAAACTACTTCGGACAAGATTTTATAAAGAAATGAACCACTTTAATCTCAATGCTTCTAATGTTTTAAATTAGCTTGTACTAAATAAATACTGGTTTTATTATTTCCTTCATTTCCCTCTACCTTTACAGCCAACACTAAGAGAAACTTTAATGATTTGGAAAATTTTTTAGATGTCAAAGAACAATAATAACTTTACTCATTCATCATTAGGATTGTTTTATATAATTTCAGCTTGCATAGTCATTTTTATGGTCCTACAATACAATGCAAAGCAAGGACTGCCTGTATACATATCTTTTAAATGTTATTCAGTTTATTTCTAGGGCTTCTATTTTCTTCTTTTCACTTTCATATCAATTCTACATGCATAATTCATTCACGTATTGATTCAGCAATATTTATTGAGTAATGTCTATGCTCTAAATAGGTTTTGCTTCAGGCTTTCAAGATAAAGCAAAGAGCCTAGCAAAAAGATTCTAATTTATATGCTGGAGGGAAAACAAACATTAACTAATTAATTAATTAGTTAAGTGAATAAGTAAGTTAGTATATAAACCAGCAAACAAGAAAAACATCTGCAAATTGTTCTGTGCTTGCAGAACATTAAAACAAGGTAACTGAATACATAATAATATAAGATACAAGATGTTTTACTTTTGTAATTAGAAAAAAAGTGGCTTTGAAATTTCCTAAATCTCTGGGAGGAAAAAAAACTAAAGTTCCAGGATTTTTGTGTAAAAACATTTGCAATGCCTTTCCAATCAAGAAATGGGATGTGTGATTATTTTAAAGGATCAGAGAACACATAAAAGAAATGATAGGAGGGTAAGAAATGATTGGCAGAATTTGGAATCTAGGTACTACTCCTAGCAAGTAAAGTGTTCACATTACTAAAGATCTAGTTATTCAGCACAGTGGTTCTGAAACTGACAGTCACAAATGTGACGGATTTTTCATCAACATTCAACATTAAAGATCCCTGAGACAGAATGAGCTTTCAGAAAAGTCTATGTTTAGAGAATCAACTATTTGTTCATTTCTAAAAGATGCCGTGTGGTTTTGTCTTCACCTCTAACAGAGAAGAATGAACATCTCTCCCGCTTAAAGAACAGAGTCTCCTACACAGACACTGCACAGCTCATCTGCACTGAACTGGGACCCACAGAGCCCTACTCTGCGGCCTGATGTTCTCAAGTTGGCAAAGTACAGCTCACGGCCTATCAGACAGCAACTCGCTGCACCTCTGCAAAGCGGAATCAAAGAAAGATGTCATGTTACCTCCAGGTCTTCCTCTCTGGGCACCGCGACTGAGCACCTTTCATAAGAAGTCTTATTTATTAAATATAGTCTCTGAGCAACCAGTATAACAATCTCCAGGATAAAATTCCAAAATCATATATCATAAACTGGCTTGCCACTCTAGTTTCTTCCCTCAGTTGCTCCCCTCACCAAAAGAAAGCTTCTCCAAGAATCAGAAATAAGAGGTATTGTATTGTCAATATCAACATGTGGGAGAGGTATCTTACATGGCCAACAAACACCCTCCCTAATTTCTAACATCACTATTAACGCAAAGATATGCAGGGTGCAATGAAGTATGTCAGGAATTCATTTTTCCCCCATAACTTTTGATCAGATAAAGAAATGAGCTAAATACAAGCCACACCACTACTTTCAGACTCTGGAGCCAAACTGGGTTTGAATCCAAACTCCATTACTTATTTACTGTGTGATCTGAGACAAGTTAGTTATCCTCTCTGTGTCTCAAGTTCCCCCACCTAAAAACTGGGATGATGATAATCACCAGAGTAGCTAAAATACAAGGTATTCATTTTAAAATTGCCAGCCCTTACCAGCAAAACCTGCCTGGCTTCTAAGAAAGCAAGCTCTCACAGATATTAGCCTTGACAACCCCTCTATGTTGAAAAGATATCAGATAAGAAAGAAAATAGCCAAAGTTTTGCACATTTTACTTTAGTAAATTAAGTGGCTTCAGTATTGAGAATGCAAAGGTGTCCATACATTCCAGGAAATAGCCAATAAAAGAACAAGGGGAAAATAAATAAGCCCTTTTGATCTTAATTTAATACTAGAGGAGTAGGGGGTTTAAGAATATCAGAAAATTTAAAAAAAAAAGAATATCAGAAAATCAACTTGCTTTACACATGAACAGATTACAATTCTAAGTAATAACCAATCTAGTTTCATCATAAAAGAAAACCTAGAGAGAAAAAAATGAGAGAGAATAACAGAAGAAGAAAGAAAGGAACGAGAAAGAGAAACTGTCAAATTCACCCAATCACCTTTGTCAGAACAGAAGGTCTGCAGATCAAAATGAAATTAATGCCTTTAATCTGCTTTGATGTTTTTCCTTTGTTCATTCATCCTCTGGGTTAAAATGTATATTGGATTTTTGAGTGGTTCAAGAATTCCCTGGAGGGTCCTACATGAATGTGGTTACCTCTGACCCAGGTCTATCTGTTGGCGGACAACGTGATGGTCTGCAGGGGTTGGGGACACCCGGTGCCATCAAACCCCTGCTACCGACAGGAAGAAGGCAAACGCATG